GAGTTTTGAATGCAATTATCTTTTGTGTTAACAATCCCTCCCGCAGGGCACAAACCAAATGTGTCTACCTAGGTTACTGCTTTCTTTTCGATAGCTGGACGCGACTCCAGCAGCAGTAGAGGAGCACTGGCTTAGGCTGCCAGATTATGGGGTCCAATTCCCTGGTATTTCACTTCCACTCACGATGAAAGTATTTGCTTTCATCCACATTAGTTAGGCTTAGGCTGTCTTTTTTCTTTAACGGTAGAATTGCTGCTCGTGGGTCGTAGCTTCATTGTTAACGATAATTGTGAAAAGTTGTGTGGTTTGTAGGTTGGTGGTGTAGTTGAGATAATAGTAAGTCAGGTATGAAACCTGCTCCAATCTTGTTGTGTTATTTTGGTGCTTTTTTAGTTAAAGATTACTGGAACCCGCGCAGGGCACAGTCACCGCTCTTCCAATTCAGTATGTGTCAGTCAATTGTAATTATTGTTGTTGTATTGTTAATGTGTGAGTATTTTGATAAAGAATGTTGTTGGGTGTGGGAATTTTTGATTAAAAACTGGTTATGAACGAGTTTAAACAGGTTTGGTGTTGTTGTTAAGGAGTGAAGATGTTTTATTGGTCATTTGTTGAGTGTAGATCTTTGGATGGGGTGAAACTGATTACGGTTTTTGAGTAGATTTGAAAAATTTGTAAAATAGTGAAGAAGTAGTACATGGTATTGTTTTAGAAATAGAGAAGAGAAATAATAAATTTGCAAAGGTTGTGTTAAGACAAACATTAGACCCAGTAACTTTGTTTGAATGTGTTGTTAGAATTGAGTTTTGTTATAGAGGATGAAAGGTGAGAGGAAAGATGGTTATCATGATCATAAAGGGGAAGGTACCTAAAGACAAAAATTATGAAGGAAGGCTGCCACGGGCCTTTCTCCATGCAACCAAGAGCTAAGAAAGACTCCCAACTTGCTTAGGTCTTGACCAGAGGTCCCATTCTAATGCAACAGTGTTTCTTGAAGTCTTTATGTCCTTTGGGTTTAAAGCTTATTTGCCTTAAAGAATAAAGAGAGGAAAACGTTTCTTGAGAGAAGATTTCCTAAAAAAGAAATTTTCAAAAAATCAGCGGTAAACGGGTGAGAGTTTTTTTTCCTTAATAAAACTTTTATGTTTATAATCAAATTATTTTTAATACAAATAATTTGAAATGTAAATATCCTAAAATTTTATTTATTTTTTGTCAATAAAATATTTATTATGTCAAATATATACTTTATACTAATATACTCATGTTTTTATTCTTTTAAATTTACTTTATGTATAGTAAGTATAAATTTAATTCATTGGTTTTTTCATTAATTAGAATAATTCAATATAATTAGCAATATTGTCAGCTGAAAGTACATAAAATACAACGCAAATCAAATCATAAAGCATTGACTTATATCATTTTAAAATCCCATAATTTTTGGATAAAATTAAAATTTAAGAATTAATAAAATGTTATTACAGTATACTATAGTAAACTTAATATTATGCAAAAAGAGTTAGTATATAGATCATTAACATAATTTTTTTCAATTATGCATGAGTGTATAAAAATTAAACTTACTTATATAACATTTACATTGCTGAAACTGTCCAATTTTCATTAACATCACTACTTAATTGCTACTTAATTATTACTTAATAGTCAAATAATAGTAACAGAGTAGTTACAGTAGTGTTAACTACTACACTACTGCATTTTATTGCTACTAAATTGCTACTAAATTGCTACTGTATTGTTATTATATTGCTACCATATTGTTACTAAATTATTTTTATATTGCTAAATATGAATAGAAACTATATTATAACTGCTTTGCTACCATTCCAATAACTTTTACACTACCATTACATTACTATATTGTTGTAGAATTATTACTGCAATTGTAACTGTTTTGTTTCTATATTGTTACTATTATATTATAATATAGTAACAGAATTATATTTAAATTGCTACTGCTATACTACCATTTTTTAAAAAAAATGATATCACTACTATATTGCTACTACATTGCTACTACATTGTTAAAAAATGATTACTTTCAGTAAAGTAACTCATGATCTAAGAATTTTTTGCATTGTTATCTAAACTATTTATAAGCAGGGAAGTTTTGGTAATATATTTAACTTCGTTTTTAGTTAAATAAAAGAATTTAGAAGCAGTAAGTAATTTAATTCGAGAAACTTTATCCTCTCCGATAACGTTAAAAATAACATAAAGCTTCTGTGCCGTGTCTGTTCTTTTTCGTACTATAGCATGGTAGTGTTTTCTGGAAGGTACTCCCTTACTTCACTGTTAAGTTTTGTATAAGCCAATTACAGTAGATTACTTTCATAATGAAGACGTATCGACAGAGCTCCTTCGAATCGAAAATAACTGAATGGCTTTTCAGTTTGCTTGATCATCTTTCTTTCCGGCTACATCAATTTCATAATACAGGTGATTGAGGTGATTGAGGTGATCTGTCTTTTTTTCCGTGTTAGTATTTTTAGATGGCACACTAATAGGTGATAGTTCCCTCGAATCTGGAATTTGTTAATCAACTGATAGTTTATGGATAATTTCTTGTAACTTAGTGCCCCTATTAGCTCCACTTTTGCTGTCACTTTCATTATTCTTTGGATTCCCGTGCTGAATACATAGTATCCTTGATCATCAATCAACGGGCATTGATGGCACAACCTGCGATCATTATCAATACGCTTAAAGTGTAATACATGTCTACATGTAAATAACACAAGAGGTTTAGGTAGGCTTGGCGATATTTCCTCAGAACACTTGAGACACACTTTGGTTCGTTGAGAAATGTTAATGTTATTCGGAAGTTAAACTAAGAATGTTTAACGCAATGAATAGCTCGAAATCGTGAAGTCATTTGGATAAAGTCTTTAATTTAAACACTTTCTTGTAATTATTGAACTAACTTGTTCTTCAAGTAATTATATGTTAACAGAAACGGTAGTATATTTACATTCACGTCATAGTGTTCTTTGTCAGAACGCTTATTATTTGGCAAATTCTGTATAATTTAGAACTTCTTTATAATTAGCGTCGTGGGCTATTCGGCAAGTCGGTCGCTAACCCATGTTACTTGTCGTCTCGTTCGGTTTACAATAAGGCAAGTTTCTCCTTTCACTCTTGAGGTGTGTCTTCGATTTGCCGGTCTTACTCTAACCACTCTATCGACTAATATAGATCCCTTCCTATGCCAATTCCCTTGGGCAAACATCTGTTCTATCGCTTAGTCACGTAGTATTTCGGCACGCAAGAAAACAAGGTAAAAGTTTATTTGCAAACTTAACTTTATTGTCTGAATGCTAGTGTGTTCTTAACTAACCCTTCTCCATACATGCTACTGAATTGCGTATGTATTTATACATGCGCCTATTGTTTACATGTTTACATTTGATCGCTTTTCTACGTTATTCTAGAAATTCCCACCTTTAAATTCTCCCACTCTAATTTCCCACCGTTCTCTCATAACAACACTAATTACGTTACGTAACGTAAAACGTTTCGCGTTACCGTGATCATTAGCCATAAATAAAATGCAACACAATAATTGTTGGAAGAAAAAATTGATTTTTTTTCGCCCATAAATCGAGATCTTCGTTTAATAATTAGAATAAGGACCAAAGACCGGTTTGTATTCTCCAAGTTTTATACTTTCGATTTTAATTAAAAAGTTTTTCAATTAATTAACTTATCTGTTCAAAGTTCAACTTTAGTTATCGAACAATCTTTATATAGTTTTTACGGAAACATATCTTTTATGCAATAAAGCTTTTATTTGTTTTGCTTCTCATAGTGAAAATTACTCTTCGTGCCCTAACTTATTAGTTTTTTTGTTTATGCAATGAAATTTAACGTGCATTTGCTTTGGGGTTAAAAATATTCCCATAATTCTGAAGAGTACAATAGAATGCCCTTTTCACTTCTTATATAATCTTATAGAAAGTTTTTCGAAACAACAAGGTAAAAGTAGAGGATTTGGGATTATTTCATATTGATATTTAAGGAAAAGAAAAAATTTTGGTTAATAGAATTTCTTATATATTTTATTTACCTTGAGCATTAATTTCGGCCATGAATAAGATTTTGCTCTTGAGTTGTCAAATTAATCTTAATTTCGGAATTTTTGGGCAGGGGAAGATCTTTAAAATCAATAAGTTTGCTTGTACGAAGAAGTTGACTTGTATGAATTTGTTCACTTGTACGACCAAGTTGTTGACGCGTCTGATTCTTTTCACTTGCATTAATTTGCTTTTTAAGTTCGGAATCGACTGTTAAGTTTTTCCAAGCATTTAAAATTTTACATAAGTCCTCTGCGGGTGGTCGTCTTGCTGGATCAGCATCCCAACATGTTTTTATCAATTCAGCTATTAAAGGGGGCAGATCTTGAATTTCTGGTCGCTTCCCGTTACAGATTTCAATCGCAAGGGCTTTACTTTCTTCTTCATTATCACAATCAACATTGCTAAAAGGAGAAGCGCCAATAAATATTTCGCACATAACCATTCCGAACGAATAGATGTCTGCAGCCTTTGTATGTATTTTATCATGAAAAACCTCAGGCGCTACATAAGGAAGAACCCCGTATAGTTTATCCTCTCTCTCTTTAGAATTGGCTGGTTTGCATAACCCTAAATCTGTTATGTAAACCGCATTACTGTCATTAGAAAAAAGAATGTTTCCAGGGTGAAAATCCCGGTGAATTAATCCGAATTTGTGAATTTTATATAATCCAAGTGCAGTATAATGTAAACGCCTGAACTTCTTTTTCCACGATATCTCTTGAATCACCTTAGTATGATCAACAAATTTCATAACGACCATAAGGTTTGATTTGTTGTCTTTGGTTATTCCATAGCATCTGGTAATTTGTGACCTATCACCGTTTAATTTATGAAGGCTATTTACCTATATTTAAAGTTAAATTTATTATCAGCAAAATAATTTATATATGTTTATAAATGATCACACATATAAATAATCAATGGCACAAAAGTGATTAAAATTTCATAATTATTACCTCCTCCAAATATTTTTTAGATATCTCTTGAGAATTTTTTAAACATTTTAGTGCTACCTTTATTTTCCCGAATCTCTTCCATCGATCATATTTGCTCCAATACATAATGGGTCCTTCCTTCCAATCTGCCGAATAAACTTCAGCAAAACCACCTTCACCAATTTTTTCGATATTTTCAAATTTTTCATATGGAATCCATTCAAG